AGCTGGCTACTTTTTTCGAATTATTTTTGTGCATAAAATTGGATTACCAAGGTGAATCACACTTTGGAACGTCGCTTTTCGAATTGGGCTCCAAGTATCCCTGTGTGTTTTACCCGTTGTTTCTGTTCAAAGAGCCGACTGATTTTTCTACCTACCATCTTTTATCAACCTGTTGTCAATTTTTTCTTTTAGTACAATACGAGAGGAGATGAACGATGAGTCAGAAGAGTTCTTGGACTTATTTGGAGGTGAAGAAATTGTATACATAGAAGGAGCCCGCACAAGTACTGGCTTTTTCACGGTTGAGAAGCCGGCGCATGTCACGAGGTTTGTCTGCGCTTCTTCATGCTTTGAAAGTTTGCGTTTTTCTTTTCTCACGTTCACCTTTGTGAGGTCTTCCTTCAGATTTACTTTCCTTCTTCTCATTATAGTTTTCCTCTTCATCTTGATTATTTCTCATAGATTGTATCGAGCCTCAGTAAATGGCACTGCTGTTGAGATGGAGCCTGTTCCGGTGGCAGTGGAGTCTCTCGACCCTCGGTTTTGTTTTCTTCTTGATGCTGGCGAAACACTTTGGATTTGGAGCGGATGGAAGGCTAGGGTAGGTAAATATTAACTTTCATCTTTCGTCATTTTTCAAAATACATTTCCAGATAACTGTGGCAAATAAGGCACGTCTATTTGCTGAACGATTAAACAAAAGGGATAGAAAAGGCGCTGCCGCTATCGAAACATGTCGAGAGCCTAAAGTTCCGGAAGAGTTCTGGACAGCATTTTGGGGCCAACCAACACGACCAGACGAGCCCATAGTAGAGCACGTGCCTGAAAATTTTGTTCCGGAGAGGAAAAGACTTTATCAGGTAATCATTTGTTCGTTGTACTTATGAAATTTGCACAACGGCTAGTTTTTTTGCTGATGTGTTCAGGTCAATATTGGAATGGGGTTTTTGGAGTTGCCTCAAGTTGAGCTCCCAAAGGGTGTTGCTAGACAAGTCAGTTTTTGTTTTCATAACTCTGTTCCAGTTCCATTTCGGTGCGTTGTCGTTAGAAGCATAACTTGCATGATTTATAGCATGATTGTCATGCCGACTGTACTGACCAGTCATGTTACCTTTTTCACGAGCAGTTTCTCAGGAATTAGGATCCACCTTTTTTCTATTTTAATTTATGACTTCTAGGAACTTCTTAATACAAAATGCGTGTACATACTGGATTGCACGTCGGATATCTTTCTTTGGACGGGAAAGAAAGCTAATAGGTACTAGATTTGGATGAGACTCTCTGTAGTTTTTATAACATAATTTTGATGTGAATAGGCTGCTGAAGATGGCTGGACAAAAGATGGTGACCGAATTGCATCAAATGATCGAACGACCGGACTATACGCAGGTGTCACGAGAAACTGAGGTACGTCGTGGCACTCTTCTGCAGCTGTGGCTCCCTCTGAAATCTGGTGTTTGTTGTTAGGACGAAGAATCTATGATGTTTCGTTCGAAGTTTGCCGGATGGGACGATATTGTACCTGTAGATTTTACTCGCACAT